AAATTTTTTACATAGATAATAATTTAAATAAAAAATATATATAATAGAAAAATAAAATAAAAATCAAGACATAAACAAAAGTCATGGCGGCAGTACCGAACCGTCGTAATCAACAATTAAAAATAATCAACAAAAGTCATGACAGTATCGAACCGTCGCCATAAACAATTTAATCAATTTCAAAAGATATTCACGACAGTATCGAACCGTCGCCATCAATAATTAAAAGAAACTCAAAAGATAGTCACGACGGTATCAACCCGTCGTAAACTAGAACGACAGTTTTTGTAACCGTCGCGAAATAGGTTGGGGACACACACTTCTGCGACGGTAAAGCAACCGTCGTGGAAAGCAAATTGCGACGGTTTTAACCGTCGTAATCTACAAAAATACCTGTCGCAATCTGCCAATTTTCTTGTAGTGTAAAAAGGAACTAAAGTGATTCAATCAAAAAGCAAGTAATACAAAAAAATGAATGGCATGATAATTATAAAAATTATAAGTTTCCTAAACATGTTATGCTATAGAAAGAAATAAATGGGTACCTTTGATGAAGCAACTTCACAAACATTATCATTATCATACATTCGCAAGTTGAAACACTCAAACTCGGAAAATCACCAAATGCGACTTCAAACCATTGAACCAAAATTGGATGACAAACAACAACAAAAATTATTAGAAAAAAATAATAATGTTATTTACTACTACAAAGCCTTGGTTAAAGTGGGAAAAAGGAGGGCCAAGTGAAATAAAAAGATTTCACTAGCTCAACTCAGCAGAGGGCGCTAAGCGCCAAAACCCGTACTAAGTGCGCTATACCAGAACGCAAAAAAACATGACAACATTGTATTCTAATGCAACCTCCAATTTCACCTACACATCTTAATTACACAACTAAACATAGTTTACACATGTAAGAATTTCCTTAAGCTAATAAGCTCTTGGAGAACACAAATAACACAATAAAACAACCGGGTGAAAGTGAATTAAACAAGTTGAAAAGTGAAGATTTGAGAGTTTTAAGAACTTGTATGATTTCAATTTTTTTAAACAACACTTACCACACTACCTAAACTACTATAATGAAAAACAATAAACATGCTTGTTTTACGTTGTAAGCTCGACACCTAATTGTGCATAGCTAGTAACTTCCTCTCGTCACCCGATGCTTTTGTTCAACGCGCAACCGGAAATAAGTGTTCTAACAAACACTTGAACAAACATTACGAAAACAAGGTAATTCACAACAACACTTGAACATATTCATGACAACACATATATACACACACACTTGTATAACTTTGAGAAACACAAACATAATAAGTGTGGAAAAACAAACACAAACCATGTATCTATACAAACAAGTATCATTATTCACAAGTATGAGAAACATGTACAAATATACGACATAGACATATTTATGAAACTTAGAAAGCAAAAATATTGTGATGTAATTAATATCAACATCAATCCTCGGCAACAACGCCATTTTGTTGACATCTGCGGTTAGCGGCTCTCAAGAAAAAAACTCGAGTAAGTATCTTTTATCGTCTCCACAGGGATTAATGCGAGGAAAAAACTACCGTTCAATAGTCCCAATCTCTCTAAGTTTGGATTTGGGTTTGCGAAAGGTAAAATGCAAAAAAGTAAATAAAGAAAATAAACAATCATTCATAGCCAAGAAAATTTATTCTAAAATTGCATTTCACTCTACTTGTCAAATACTTAAACTCACCGATCAATTGCACTCAACCTAAATCACTCGTCAATACCATCACATATCACTCACACAAAGGTTATTTCTAACGCAAAGTGAGACATCACTCGTATTGCTCTCGGAGGAGATTTCACGTGTAACTCAAACAACACAAATGCATTTCATAACCGATACTCACATGAATATTAAGCCTAAATCTATTTCTAGAATCTAGAACCTAATAGATATTCATTCAAGAAAGAGATTCAGAAGGCATATGTCTACGACAAACCAAACCTCTGTGATAAAGCAAAAATCAAGAACAAACACTGATATTAATTCGTAAAAGAAATTTCATGAAATCCCATAATGAACAAATGTACATACAAGAAGAGTAAAGATATACATACAAAACCCATCATTAGAATGATACACAGGGAAAAAGGAGATCAAGCAGAAAATTCTCGCGGTGTCAATGCAATCCGAACCAACCCATAACCAATCGACAAGATGCAGCACTCAATGATGTTGCTAAACCTCTAAACTACAAAGAATTGGATCAGAGCTTCTCCATGGAGAGAAGAGATGGTAAAACCTAACAAAAATCTGTTTTGAGCTATTTATACAAATATAAAATACGCAGACCGCGCTAATCGCAAAAACGATGCTAAGCACACACTCATTTATTCAACTAAACCGCCTTAAATGACACTAAGCGTCAAATATTGGGCTTAGCGCCAAACTCACTGCCTTTTCTCCAGAATCCGCGCTGAGAGCATGCTAAGCGCAACTTGAAGCAATTATTTCTTCCAAAAATGCATCTTAAAGTTGTGCCTTCGACACCTTATTTCTCAATGCTCCAAATATACAACAAATACATACAAAAGAAGGAAAAACTATCAAACGGTACATAAATGACTCAAAAATATGATTATACACAAAGTATACATATTTACAAACAAAGCGGGAAATTATTCAAAGAATATTAATAAAAGAAATGATAAGTGCCACAAATTACATACACAAATAACCAACATTTTGGCACTTATCAACTGTCTCATTTTATCTCAGGTGCAGTGGCTAAAAACAACCCTGGCATAATAAGGCTCGACCGTGTGTCCGAAATCATGCCGGTACAACGTGAGAGGGCCGCAACCAGGACCAGAAGGCCAAGAGTTGATGATAACTCATTTGATGATTCACAACGTCAAGGTTCCCAACTATCTAGTGCTACTTCATGTTGTCGCCTATCTTAGGCCTCTACTTCACGGGGGCACAAGTCCCTAGATGATGCAGCAACACCTGAAGCCCATGAGGAACCTGCTGCCGATGCCCCTTTAGAGAGTTATCCTGGATGCCCATTTGACACCTCCTTACTTTATCTCTATGTATGCCATGTTTCTAGGCAAGTTTAGGAAGAAGAGGTATATTAATTTTCTTTTGCAATACATATGTTTTAAACTAATTAAATTGATATTGATGGGGATACTTTTTTTACAGAAGTGTCCATGTTTGAAATCGATAAACCATGACTGGAGGATATTGGAGTTGGAACAATCTACTGCTGATTGGTTCATTGATGTCATTCTCTATTTCGATCTTGCCGATTTATGTTCTGTTGTGCACATGACCATAAACCACGACATGCATGCAACATTTATAGAGAGGTGAAATTCAAAGACGTCACCTTTCCACCTTCCTATAGGCGAGATGACCATCATCCTGGATAACGTCTCATGCCTCATGCATCTTCCCACCAAGATAAAATTACTGGGCTATGGAAGACACAGTCGAGAGGAAGCCATTGAGATGATGGTCACCTATTTGGGGGCTGACCCAACTAAGGCGACAAATGAGGTAGCTGACACCAAAGAGGCTCATGCTAGATTTAGTCTTTTTGGAACAACTTTATAAAAACCATCTACAATGGACTAAGGATGTCGAATGTGATGATCTGCAGGTTGACTATCATCCGACATGTGCATTTAGGTGTTACCTCTTATTCTTGGTTGACACATCCATTTTTATGGACAAAAGTGCAACCTACATCGATACAGTTTATCTTAAGTACTTCATCGACTTGGCGACGATTAACAAGTATAACTTGGGGGTTGCCTGTTTGGTCTACATGTACTCGATGCTAGGGGAGGGTTATCTTTGAAGGACAAAGTAGATGACAGGGAGTTGCATGCTGCTTGTGGTAATTTATTGTTACTAAAATTTTCATAATTCATTGGTTACACTTATAATTAATATTATATTTGGACCATTTTCAGGGATGGATCAACTCTTACTTCCCTCGTATCACCGAGTGAGAAGTTGTGTCTGCCTACAATGAGGATTCGCCAAGTGTTGTCACCTTTACCCCGTACATGAGGAATAATGCGATCAAGCCATTCATAGTGCATATTGACTTTCATGTAACATATGACATTTCCTTTTACCCATACGACGTTCACCACGAAACGCGTCCGCTTGACTTCATTTATTTATACTTCAGATGGCAGACATGTGGGTCATCTCTTATATATTCTTATCTACTCGTGTGCGTGATCAATCGTTTGGATATCTGCAAATTATTCTAAGACACCCCCTCAGAGTCTACTCCTCCCACTGCCAGCCGTAGAGATCACGATGCATACCATTTTCTACCTTTTTTGAGTTAAAATTTTACAGTTACACCATGAATACCATTTTCCTTCCTCTTTTAAAAATTATACGACAAACTTCTTAATAAAAAAATGTTCCAAATATACCTGCATTAGGTTCTCAAATAGATGCATTAAAATGGTTGGATAAAGAACCATGTTAGCATTTATTATTTTACATAGTGATATGACAATAACATTACAATTCTGTTTGGTTTATCGAGCAGGCCGTCGGGATGGGTAGCCATTAGGACTAGGTGTGGACATGGGACTTTCACATATCAGCAGAGGTTGCAATATTGGAAGCGATGAAATTAGTGGAAATTCTGGCAAACTTTAAGCCAACGGTGAACAGAGTCGACACTGTTAAATGATGGCCTAATGCAGACGACATTCAAGTGGTGGAAAATGCTCGTCTTTTTACAACTGGCTAAAAGTTGAACCGTTGATTGAATCTGATGGTAATTATTTGAGGTTTCACCGGTGAGGAATTTAAGTAAGCCTTCATTCTAGACTTTACAACAAAAACATATTGGAAATTAAAAAAAAAAAAAGGGGTATATAGGGGGCGTGCAAAAAATTAGGTTGGCCCAGGCCGTTGAATTGAGAGGCGTGTCCTTTGATCTGAGTTTGTTGGTGGAAGGAAAGGAAAGATGTCGTCACTGGGAACTTCGAAGGGGATTCTAGAGATCGCCAAGTTTGGGGTTTACGTTACTGTACCCATCGTTCTTATGTACGTCTATGCAAGCAATACCGACAACACCCTCCACAAGTTCATCGGAAAAGTAACTTCTCTCCTTCTCTCACACACACTCTCTGTACATTTCTTTTTCGTGTTTATTCGTGTACTTTACGGTGAGGTCTGATTCCACTATGTTATGCCGTTATAGTGCGCTATTGACAACCTATAGCTATGTCAATTTTTTTTCTGAGTTAGTAAACATTTTAGTCATTGAATTGTAAAGGTTGATCAATTTGGTCTTCTAAATTTGCAAAAAAGCAAAGAAACTGAAGTGAAAATGTTTTGACTTCAAGTTTGTTGCATCTGTGTGGGTTGAGGAGAGTTTGTTGGATTTTATGGGAACCCTTGTGGTTTTGTCTTTAGTTAAAAGGTGCATTTGTGAGTTGAGGAGAGTGAGTATTTTTAAACTATGCATATCCTCAATTTCCAAGCAATATGAGCAGAGACTTTTTGGTATACCAGAATGGTATTCTTTATTAGTTTGTTAGTCTAGAATTATCCGCTATCTGTAATTGAATCAATTAACTGCAGTTACATATCTGTTAGACTCAGTTTCTTTTTTGGACCTGGTTAGCTTTATATATAAGTTATAATAAGGTTTTGCATTTTATCAGAAAGATTTCAGATTCACAATAATAGTTCATTGCGTCATATTCTCTTTTCTGTCAAACTCATAAAGATCTTGCACGAACATGGGAAAAAGTGGCAGGAAACATTTATGTGAAATTTTGTCACCTAATATTATTCACTGTTGTGGAGATGAGGATGTTGCGGTGGATGTGTGTAAAATTCGACAGGATAAAATTAGAAATGAAAATATTTGAGTGTCGAGGTAGCGCCTATAGTAGAGAATATGGTGAAAAATAGACTTAGGTGGTTTAGAGAGAAGACTTATAGATTCTGTAATAAGGAGAGTAGATCAAATGATATTTCCGCGAATGACAACACTGCAGTCATTGGAGGATGATATTTCCCAGAATAGGTTTGTAGTATAAGCTCTCTTAAGTTAGAAGTTAATCCAGTATGGTTTTTTGTTTGTTTGTGCAGTTAAGAATCAACACGAGAATAAAATAAATGTAGCAGAGATGAGGATGTTGCGTTGGATGTGTGATAAGATCAAACATGATAAAATTATAAATGACAATATTAGAGAGTGTTGGGGTAACACCTATAATAGTAAATATGGTGGAAAATAGAGGTGGTTTGGGCATGTAAAGAGAAGATCCGTAGATTTTGTGGTAAAGAAAGTAAATAAGATGGAGAGAAGTCAAACAACTAGAGGTAGAGGAAGACTTAGAAAAACTATAAGAGAAGTTATTAAGGAAGACCTCGAGATTAACGATTTAGATAAAAACATTAGAACATTATGGCGAAAAATTTGATCCATGTAGCCGATCCTACCTAGTGGGATAAAGCTTGGTTGTTGATGTTGTTAACAATAATCCATTTCGTGGTCTTAATAGCGAATCGTTTCCTTGCCAAGTTAATTGTCATTACTTGTTGGCTTTGAAGAAAAAGAAGAAAAAAAATACAATTATCTTAAAATTGTCATTTAGATATATCATCTTCTAAACTGTATTTTCTTGGTATCATGTTGCAGAAGTCATATATCGAATATCCCAAGGATACACAAAAGCCACCACCACCAGAGGAACTTCGAGAGATGGCGAGGGAGATAGCTCGCAAAAGGAACAACCCGTGATGCTCCTTGTGGGTTGGTTGTGCTTTAGTGGTTATGCACTAGTATCTGTATCGTTTTAATTGCTTCATTGTTATGTATAATGTTCAATGACTTTTAAACTATTTTAAATAAAAGATTTTTCTATCCTTATTTGCAAAATTCTTAAGTTGTAACATATTTTTGGTTTCTTTGTAGTTAATCATATTTTTAATTCCAATATATGTAATAATAATAATAATAATAATTTTATAATTGTTTTTATATATCGCAATACTTTCCTGTCGATATGAATTTGGCAACAGACAGCAAAGATGGAATTCAAAGTAGTTGTACAATTCAAACTAGTGTGAATTATTTTTTTTCTACATGAAGTGTTACTTGTTCAAAACTTAGTGGGTCAAAAATATTTGGAGAGTAATTTTTTTGGTTTGATATGAGTATTCAATACGGTTTGGTAATAGACTAATAGTAAGTGTTTGTAATGGAAACCGTGTGAACTACGAATCTTTGCTTCTTTCAATTGTTTCTGTTGTTTTATTATGAAATTTCCTGCATTGAAAGGAACATTTTGTTATTAAGTAAATGAGTCAACGTTTGCAATTTCATTATCACGCCAAAAATCAATTCTGCATTGCATGGAGTCATGGACTTTTTTCTCATATTATAAATAAATAAATATTTATTTATTATATATGTACAAGAAGATGTGTAAGAATTCTTGGGCAAAGAAACTCTCCTGGAATCCAGGAAATATTAACTTACTCATGTGGTTAACGAAATGGTAAGCTGCTTCATGTCTTGCTCCTGAGAGGTAATTCTACCTTCACATTTCTTTCTTAAATGTTTTTTTTGTATTTATTTAATGTCCTTCCTTGACCTTTCTGGCATGTTAGGGATTGATTCAGTGTTGTCAAATATCGGCCATGGCAGATATTGGTGGCACTTTTTGGCTCTCTGCCATGGCCAAATTTTGAAACGACGGCGGCGCCAGTACGTCACGTACGGCGACGCCGTATGTTGGATTTTTTTACTCTCTTCCATGGTCTGCCATTGATAACCCTGTGTTTGATAATAGTCTTTGAACTGAATGAGCCTGATGTAATGTTGATGGTGAAAACGTACATGTTGAGTTATGGTTACTATCGATTAGTATTGTCAAATAGTGGCCATAATGGTGAAAATTTGAACAAATTGCTATTTTTGTACGGTACATTATTTAGTACGAAATATTGTCGAACTACGGCCCTGTATTTGATCAAATTGCTATTTTCCGTGATTGACACCACTGTTACCGACTTGTCTTCTAAGCTTTTGTCTGACTCTCTTTTAGTCTCTATCCTTCCCTTCTTTCAGTTCGATGACATGTTCTCAAATTAATAGTCCGAAGAAGCATTTTTATGCTCTGTAGAGGACTCAATGAGAGGAATTCGATTGCAGGGAAAATAGAAACAATTTTTCGGTGCTGTGGTTTCAACTTCCATCCTCTGCTCAATAGGAACACGGTGTGAGTAAAAAACTCAAGAGACTACAAACCGCTTACCATGGTTGGATTGGAACTCATACCGATAGGTACAATTTTGGCTGTTCTAACCAGCCATGTTGTAAGAACAGCTAGTGCGGCAAAAGATGTTCTTATCGACAAAGAAAGTTTTAACGTCCTTTCGAAACACCTGCTTGATATTGCACCAGTCCTAAAGGAGTTACAGCTTCAGGAATTGAATGAGTCACAGGCTGCAAGGGTTGCTCTGGAGTCTCTTGAATCAGATGTAAAACAAGCAAGTAATTTGGTCGAGAAGTACAAGAACACCGGTCGTTTTTACTTACTTATGAAGTGTCGTTACATAGTCAAGGAAGTTGAACAAGTCATTAGGGATATAGGAAGGTCTCTAGCTGCATTGTCTCTTGCAAATACTGAAGTCCTATCAAGAATTTCTGATCAAGTCAACAGACTACAGAGTGAGATGCAAAGGGCCGAGTTTGAGGCTTCGCAATCTCAGCTTGACATTGTTGATAAGTTGAACCATGGAATTAAGGAGCAAAAACTAGATCAGGCTTTTGCAAACAATATGCTCGAAGAGATAGCAAGGGCAGTAGGGGTGCCAGTGGAGCCTTCAGAGATCAGCAAAGAGATAGCCAGCATTAGGTGGGAAAAAGAAGAAGCTTTAAACAGGAAAGAAAGAGCAGAAGTTATATTTTTGGAGCAGATCATTTTGTTACTCTCTCAAGCTGATGCAGCAAGTGATTACGAAGAAGTTAAGAAGCAATATTTTCAAAGGGTTCAGGTAATAGAGGGATATGGTTCAAAGGAAAAATATATTCCGCCCCTTAATTCTTTCCTTTGTTCGATAACTGAAGCTGTTATGGTAGATCCTGTCAGTCTTTGCACCGGTACTACATGTGAGAGATCTGCCATCGAAGCTTGGTTTGATGATGGCAATATGACTGACCCAGAAACTGAAGAGGTTCTTGAAGATACTACCTTAAGGTCAAACATCCGGTTAAGAGATTCCATAGTAGAGTGGAGAGAACTTAATTACTGCTTTAGAATAAAGTCTATCAGGGAAAACTTATTATCTAATTCTGGCTTATTATTGCATGAGTCCTTGAGTCAGATGCAGACTCTCATAAGAGAGAATTCAATTAATAAGGATTGGATTTCTATAGGAGAGCTTACTGATATTATCATTTCCATCCTTGGGAACTCTGATTCTATAGATGTCAAGATGAAGATCTTGATTACTTTGAAGGATGCTGTTGAGGGGCATGCAAGAAACAAGGTAAAGCAATCTTTATTTTTCTTGTAACCTGAGCCTAAATTTTTTTACATATGCTGCACTGAGATGTAGACATTCTTCAAATAGTTTTCAATTCGACATTTGCATAATATTTTATAGGAAAAAGTGGTTGAATCTCAAGGATGGGGTAACATTATTTCATGCTTACACAATGACTCTAGAGTAATAAAGGAAGCAATTGATTTGCTCTATGAGTTGCTTCAAGACCGTTCTGGTTGGAATAGAAGTTTCTGCAAAAAACTTTCTGAGCATCCCAGCACAGTTCATTACCTTGTTACCATTCTAAAGGGACCTGTCAGCGATTCAACTGCGATTGCAGAAAAGATTTTGACGGAGCTTTTTGAAATAGATGAGGAAAACATTTCATGTGCTGCTAAGTTTGGCTGGTACAAAGCACTTGTTGATCGCATGATTCAAGGTAGCAAGACATTCTTTTCCAGACCGTCTTTGTTGCATACTTGCCTTGATTCAAGGAAGTCTTTCTTTTAGTTTGTGTCTTATTGCTGTACTATGCACCAAATAGAACATTTGTGTGTAACTTTTCCTTATTTGATTTTTAAGGATCGGAGTCTTCAAGAATGTCAATGGCTAAAGCTATAATCAAATTGAATTTGGAAGAATCAAATCTAAAACTCCTAGGCGAGAAAGGAGTTATACCTCCTTTGCTAGAAATGCTATCCGGAAGCATTGAATCGAAAGAATTGTCATTATCATCATTGCTCAAACTAGCAGGAGTTCATGGCAATAAGGGAATTATTGCTGCATATGGAGGCGTCCCTATTCTTCTAGATTTAACGTTCTCCCTTCGGACACGGGCGTTCATTAGCATTAAATGCTTTGAAATCCTTGAGAAGCTTTCTTCTGATGATGGAATTCGTTTCTTTGTTGACGGAGAAGGGAAACAACTCGAGTTAGATAACATTATCACCAATTTGCTAGCTCTGCAGCAGCTTCCTAACACAGCTAAGTACTTCCGTAAGCCTGCATTGCGTGCTCTTCTTGGCATTTGCAAGTTTGAAACAGGTTTAGTTAAAAAGGCTGTTCTGGCAGCTCATGGTGTATCACTAATTCTTCCCCTTCTTGACCACTGTGATTCAGAAATCAGGGAAACTGCCATTAGTCTTCTCTTTCTTTTCTCGCAACATGAACCAGAAGGAGTTGTTGAATACCTCTTCAGGCCTAGAAGACTTGAAGCTTTAGTCGGGTTTCTTGAGAGTGACGAAAATAATGATGTACAAGTAGCTGCTACTGGTTTACTAGCTAACCTTCCTAAATCCGAACGAAAACTCACTATGCAATTAATTGACTTAGGTGGCCTTGATGCAATTATTAACATTTTGAGAAATGGTACAATGGAAGCAAAAGAAAATGCTCTCAGTGCACTCTTTAGATTCACAGATCCCACGGATATCACGTCACAGCGCGATTTGGTTAGACGGGGAATATATCCTTTGTTAGTAAAATTTCTCAATACTGGTTCAATGACAGCAAAGGCAAGAGCAGCAGCATTCATTGGTGATCTTTCCATGAGCACTCCAAAGCTCACAGTTGTTTCAAAACCAACGTTTTGCAGTTGTTTTCGATCATCACAAGCTCCTTTATGCTTGGCACACGGAAGTGTTTGCAACGTGAATTCCACATTTTGTCTTTTGGAAGCAAACGCTCTGCCTGGCTTGATCAAGCTGTTACAAGAGGAGGTTCATGCAACTGCTTATGAAGCTATACAGACACTTTCCACATTGGTTATAGAAGACTTTCCTCATAGAGGAGCTCGCGTTTTGCATGAGTCAAATGCAATGAGACCGCTATTGAAAATTTTGAACTGGGGAAGTGATTCTCTTAAAGCAGAAGTTCTTGGACTCTTGGAGAAGGTGTTTGTCTCAAAGGAAATGGTTGGATATTATGGATCAACGGCTAGATCACGTCTATTCCATCTCACTGGGATGAATGTTTATGGGGACGGCCACCTGAGGAGAAAAGCTGCCAGGGTACTGTCATTGCTGGAACGCTCGTCGAGATCGTCATCACATTTAGTCACGGGAGTTGTGTTGAGTGAGAATCTACGCCTATGAGTAAGAAGTTAAACATAACTTGCTTCAAAATCTTTTGCACTTAAAGACAATGTCTTGAATTGTTTTAGAACAACATAGGAGTGTATTAAGTCATTAGATGTGACACATGTTTCTCTCGTAGTTTGAATTGATCACTCTCAAGTTTGATATTGTAACTTACAGCGCTATCTATGAGTTTGAGATTTTTTTCCTCCTGCCTTTTATTCTCTCTATAGGTACAAAACAGAGGGGAATCAAGCCAAAACCTCAAGAACAACAAATTCTAAAACTAAGAATACCTACTTTGTTCCTATTGAAGACCGTAATTACATTGTTGTGTACCCCACCACGTATAATTAGTAGAAACTAACTCTAAATTAACTTAGTTTGTCCGCACAATGATTGTCTTCTCGATAGATATGAGTGACCAAAAAATTGTGGATTGAAGATGTCTTGTATAGTTCATCCATCTACTCCTTAACTTCCAAGAAACTACGCCATGATTACTAAACGCCTGCACCACCTGACTAGAATTCGTTTCTAACCATAGCTTATTCCAATGCTGAGAAGTAGCAAGCTCCAAAGGAAGAATGACTCCCATGATTTTGGCAAAAAGACCATTGTGATTATCCATATTGCAGGAGAAGCTTCCCAAGTGGTCCCCCTTACAGTCCCTAAAAATCCCATCACACGTAGCCCTAGAAGGAGAGCCAGAAGCCGCGCAGTATGTATTAACTTTCACCCAATCCCTGAGTGGAGGGAGCCACAAGACTTCCTTAGCCAGTTGATACTTCGGCAGATGAACTTGCACCAGAAAGTTCTTCAAGATTATGAAGTCTCTGATTGAAGAATTTGAGGATTTGATAGACAAGCTGCCCAAAGGAAAGTCTGTAAAATGTCCGAAAAGAAAGTCTGCAAAATTATAGTAGCAATAGAGGATTGCTAAGAGATTTTCTCTGTTACTTTGAAGAGTCTTGAAAGTGAATACAAAATAATTTGACCCACTAAATATCACATTATCATAATTATATTTTTAAAATTTGATAATAGAAAAAAGAAAAAAGAAAGTAAATTACACTCTCCTTTCCTGAAAAATACTTATATTATATTACTCTCCCATCTTGTGTTAAAATACAAATTTTTGTCATATCTTAAATTTGGCCGCTCTTTATTTCTACTGTCAAAAATATTTTCGACATTGTTTTTTATACTATTCTTTGATTTAATTTTATTAATATTTCAACAATAATTTATTTCGCTCATTTAAAAATGTATAATTGTTTATTTCAAATTATTTGTACTTTAAATAGTAAATACTTGTTCCCTTTCAAATGCTTTCAATTGTGTTTTTCATTTCCAATGAGTAACATAACACAGTTGGTAAAGAAATGAAACTTACAAGTGTGAGGTAGTGAGTTTGAATCTCTTGTGTTGTATTTTTAATATTTTCTTTTTCTATTTTGTGTTACTAATTTTCTTTCTTTTTTAGAGATCAGACTTTGGACTTTTCAATGTTGTAGGTAACTTAATTTTTAAATTTTTTAAACATAATTTTAACTATAAATAAGACTATTGTCCATCATAATTTTTCATCCACAATTTTTCACAATCTCAATCGTTCTCTTATTTTTGGTTTATTTCAGGGTTTTTGAATAGAAACTTTGAGAAACAGATCCAAAAATTTCCAACAATCCTTCGACCATTTCGATCCAACACCCTCAACCGCCGTCTCGCCGCTGTTCACGCTTCCCTGAGATATCCACGAGAAAGGGGGAGATGTATGTGTAATTGTTATTGTTGTCTGATATATGGAAGAGATCGATAAAGGGTATTCAGAAGAGAAGTCAAAATATTAGTTTATGTTTATTGTTGAGATTTGAAAGACAACAATTACAGGCAGACCACCCCTCTTCATAAGGTCTTGTAGTTCTTTTTTTCCCCTTTATTTTAATTTTTGTTTACTGTTTTGTGTAGCTATAATAATTAAGTTTGTACTATTTTGTGGCTATAATTAAGTTGATTAGTGTGATATGGTGGGAGAACTGACTTGAAGGTTTTGCATTTGATCGCAAATGTTGCGGTTAGCAAGAGTCGTCACCGACTTTTCTTTTATCCAAAAGGAAAGGTGAAAAAGCACATGAAAGACCTTTGAGATTATTTCTTGAGTTCAGGGGGTAGATTATGAAAAAGGAAAGTATTAGCATCCTTTCCATCCATGATTTTTCATGGGTTCTTAGTTACTTGCTAGATCACTTGCTTTTTGTTTGAAATTGTGCTTGATGTGATTTTTGAAAGTATTTTGTAAAGAGGTCATTGTTTAGACAATCTTTGTAATGATTCTTGTTTGTAAGAATGTATAGAAAGATATTTGATCTTTTAAAAATGTTTTCAAGTTTGTAAGATGTTTTGAAAGTGTATGTGTTTGTTTTGAAAATAGCAAAGATGTTTGTTTGAAATTGAGCAAGTAATTAGGAGCATTCTACCTACTCAAAAGTCTTTCTTGTTTATTTTTCTTTTCTTTTGACATTGTTATCTTACCATTGATTTTGTAAGTAACCTTATCTTTGGACGTAAACGGGACGGGCGTGGGTCATCGTATAACTATGATTAGCAATGTGACAAGGTATCTTAGCATTCTCTTTTAGGGACTAAGATCATTTGAAAGACAACTTAGATAGCGTCATCGAAGGACTATGATCTTGTATTTGTTTGTTTTTGCTAAGATATCTTACATGCGTAATATGGTCATTTTGTATAAGGCAATCAAGTGGAATAATCCTAGAGGTGCTTGTGTGCAAGTATATTTTTTCATGCTTGATTTTGTCTTGAATTAGGGTTTTCTAAGTATTGGTTTTAGTCTTTCCATACAAACCCTAATTACTAGCATGTTATGTATAAAAGCGATAAATTACGGAATTTAAAGTTACTACGCTATTACAATATTTGTGGGAGGGGGTGTACAAATTGAATGGGGATTGCAAAAACATAAACCTAGTTAGTCTATTACAACCATATTGATTTGGTATCAATGTACAAGGATTTAAATAAATATAATGTACAAAATGAAATAAATATACAAGAAATATAATTGTTAAGAAAATAGATATTTTTGGATTTTTATGAGAAAAAGGATTTTGATTTTAACCTAATTAATTAAGGGGAAAAATAATTAATTAACATAATAAAAAGTGAATCCTAAATTTATTAAGAAAAGATTTTTAAACAAAACCCTAAATCTATTAATTGATTAAAGAAAATAAGTTTAGAAAAAGTATTTTTTGATATTTTTGTCTTGAAAATATTTATAGCATTATAAAATATTTTTGGCCTTTTTTATATATAAAAAATAATATATTTTAATTAGTGTGAAAGAAAATAACTAATAACCTAGTTTTAATTAAATTTACAAGATAATAAGTAAAAACAAATAAAGTATAGTTAATAAAAATATTTTTTGTGAGAAAAAATAAAAATAAAAAAAGCCAAAATATAAATCTATCATTTTTGTATTTTTATGATTTTTTAGTATTTAGAAAAATATTTAAGAAAATAAATGAAATAAAAAATAAGAAAATAAAATAAACTGGGCCAGAGGCGTACAAGTGAAACAGGGGGTTAGCTAGCAAAACAAAAAACAAAAAAAATGAAATAAGCCCAAAGAGGTCAAACGCCCTGCAAAAAAATCAGAAATGCAAAACATGTAAAAAAATGCAAAAGAGTACCACTGGGGCTCGAACCCAGGTCCCAAAGGTTACAGGCGCACGCTTCTACTACTGGAGTGACTATACATTCGTTAACATAGGCAAATCAATAAATATACAAGGCAAAACGCGCCCTGATGACTTCATCTTCAACCTCCAGCCAGACCAACTGTAACTTGCTCATTTCTCATCAAAAATGAAAACTGTAAACATGAAACTTGTAGCAAATTTTCTCACGGTTTCAGAAATATAAAGCATTAAAACTATAGATCAAAGACAAGCATGAATTTTAATGGGTCTAATCTGAACTCTAAAAATCTCCAAAGTTTCAGTTTCAAAATTCTCTAAGCTTAAGCAAAATTAATGGAAACTATGGACATGGTTAGCTTTAGGACAATGATATCTACATGTTTTGTTCACAAATAAATCATTGATGATGCCTGTATGAAGAGTTCAAAGTTAAGAAAATTTACCTCAAAACTGGAAATCGTGTTTTGAGTTTGAGCTTGTTTCAAGTGATGGTGATGATCAGGTTAGCTTCCTTGAGGTCCCAGGAAGCTAATGCAATGATTAGCTTGAGCAATGGATGGCTGAAATGGTCTGGAGAAGTCAATGTGCAGAGTTCTGTTTTTGAAAATGGAGGATGGTGTTAATGGTATTACAGTTCTGTAACAGGGTGTGGGATCAATTCTATATGATATTTAGAAACTTTAGAAACCAAAAGGTCAAGAAACGCACGAGTAGATTATGGGTTTTAAGTTTTTGGTCAGTTTGTGTGAAAATGGAAGTGTGAAGTGTGATTCTGAGTTCTAGCTCTTTTTTGTGGTCAAGCATTCATGTGTTTGTGTCAAATGGTTTGTGTATGTATAAAAAAAAGTGTTTGAGAGCTTTGGGCAATCAGAAGTACAAGTTTCTAGCTTTTGGCTAGGTTACTTGATTTTGAAGAAAAGAGGGAAACAAGTTTCAAGAAGAGGTACAAGCATGGGATGGGTGATTGTAAGTGTTTGAAACATTTCTCATGAGTTATAGCAATGTGCAGGGTTTTGCAGGGCAGTAATGGAGCAGGTTTTTAGCAGCTAGTGCAGGGCTGGTTTTGCAGCAAGTTTGGACTGGTTTTCTTGGTTTATTATGCAGATTTTTGGGCAGCATAGGACAACAAGGTTTTGGACTGGTTTAGGCTTCAAGATTGTAGCATAGGCTTCAAGATTGTAGCATAGGTGTTGTTTTGTGAAAGGCAAAGCATGACCCGTATTTTGCTTCACAATACTTTCAAGATCAAGAACAAGTTTAGCATAATTTTAGGAGGACTTTAGGTTTCCATGTACAAAAAGAACTTGTGTAATTTTCTTGTAATTTGTAATTTGAAACTTGAAAAAAACATGAATTGAATTTATATTTTTATAAACTTGAATGATGAAATTATAAATTGAATGAATATGAAATCTTGAATGATTTTGTGAAGAAAACTTCAAATCCACATGGATCTTAAACCCTTGATGTCTTGAGTTTGCATTGTGAAACGATGAACTTTGAATGATGAATGCACGTGAATATTTGAGTGCCTTGATTCTTAAATGAACCTTCGAACTCAATAATGAACTTGAGCTTTGTATCTTGACTTCTAAGTAATTCACTCATATTATCTTCTATCCTTTAATCTCAAATCAAATCTTTGAATAAAGTGAATGTCCTATGAGCTTAAACATGTCCAACACCGATCCAATAAATCATCATTGTTTCAACACCAGTGATTCGCAACGCCAACATCAAAACGATTAATGAATTTTCAAACTCAAACTTCTCATTTTCATGAATTATCCCGACATAAGAATCAAATTTTTTTTTTGAGAAAATCATTACGGCATGAACATAACCTAGAAGTTAAGAGCATTCAGAATCAAGCAAATGATCTATGACGATTCGATAACTTTCAAGGTCTTCTAAACACAATTTTCCTTTGATCCTTGAAGAGAATAACCACCTCAAGATCTTAAAAATTGTGGAAATTACGATTCTTGGAAGTCAGGCAACTGTTACTTGAGATTAGGTCAAAATCCAGAAAGTGACCTCTAAGGCATTCGGATTTCTGATGATCTTTCGCATGTAATTAGCTATTTTCCTTGTAAAGAGAAATTGGAGATGACGTCAAGGAGATTCATACACAAAAAGAACCACTCAAAATATCGAATAATGAAGAAGTTACAATCGTTTGAACTTGATCTTTGAAAAGGTCGACTTTTGGGTCAATGTGGTTGATTTTCAATCATCTGAAACATTGACTGAGCAAACTTGCGATGCGAGGCTTGAAACTTGACATGAGCATCGTTGAGAATACATGAAGAACAATGAAGACCATTTGAAACCTCATAAACTCAATTTTGCTTGAGAAGTACCAAACCCTAGTTGTTGACTCAATGCTTAGGAGGAGAATCTGCCTGATTCAAATCCTGAGCCATTTTGAGTATCTGAGAAACCCTAGGAGAAACATCTTAAATTAAAAATAGGAGGGAAAATTTTGGGGTACAACAACCATCTTCGATCTTGTACTTGCGAATCAAAGAAAGAAGAGGAGATTAGAAAGGAGGAACCAGAAACAGAGTAAAAAGAATCACTGCAAATCAAGTAAGCCTAAGAACTCTTAGCTTTAGAGTTTGATTATGATGTTTGATACTTGATTTGGTTCTGGATTCATGGGAATTTAGGGATTTAGAGTACTGTTAGGTTTAGGTTAGAACATATTAGGGTTGGAGATTTGAAGTTAGGGTTTCAGACTAAACATGTTAGGGTTGTTTGATCTGATTAGAGTTTGGAGATAGGGTTAGGTTTTACTTAGGGTTCATCTCAGAATCCTAGGGTTCTTGGGGTTTCGATGAATTTAGGTTAGAGTTCATAAGGGTTGGATGAAATTGTTAGGGTTCGTGAGAACCCAGATGAAGATCTACGATGGCATGGATGAAGGTTTGCGGTTGAACTTCAACCAGAAATCTGGGATAAGAGGTGTTCCTAGGGCGGCTAAGGGTGGAACTGCCGACAAAAGCAATTTCCGGTCGGCGGGGCGATTTTCGATCGCCTAGAGAGAAGCAATAGCTTCTCTCTCTAAAATTTTTGTTTTGTGGAGAGAACAATTATAGAGAGAGAAGAAGGAGAAGAAAATGAGCTACCACATCTGAAGTTCGCTTAAATATACTCCCTCGTGATTTCGTGCTTGCAATCCCCTATGCCCCTACCCTGTACACTCGTTCATCATCCCACTATTCTAATCAAACAATTTTAAAATCACACACCCACTGTAAACATATGAGCTTGCCCACACACGATCCAAACGGACCTCCTAGTTTTCAAAGTTTTGGGCCAAGCCCATTGCTAAACCAATCCCCGCGATTGCTTCCTTAGTTAAAATAACACCCCTCATGCATTTTGGGCCAAGTCCAACATCTGGACTCGGGCCCTTAATATTTACACCCTTTGGTTTTACTAACCTATTGTGAAACTCACCCCCCCCCCCCCCCCCCCCCCCCACGCAATTGGGCTTAAATCCAATATATGGATTTAAGGCCCTGATATCCACACCCCCATTATTTTACTAACCAATTGAATTTTCAACCCCCTACATTTAAAAATAAAAATAATTTAGTTTTTTAACAATTTTATTTATTTGTTTACTGATGTATCACATTTTTTTGCATATTAATAAATTATTGGATATATTAATTTTTTTTTAAAATTATAAAATCTTTATTTATTTATCTAAACTTTTTCTAAATATCTTAATTGCATTAAAATATTTTTCTCATGCATTAAAATATATTTTCTCATATTGCATCATATACTCGAAAATATCTAACCAATCAATTACTAACTGCTTTTTACTAACCTAATTTAAACTTATATATTTTCTAAAAAAAGGATTATGGAAATTTCTTTTATCGACTGCGAACATCGTCTATAAATTCCGCTATTCGCACACTCAGACTTGGTTCAAGGAGAATTCGAGATATTGCCATAGTCCATAAAAAAACTAACTAAACAACTACGAACTACATTTTGGGGCTCTAATTCCTAATAAGAGGATACGTAGGCATACGACTTAAAATCGTGACGAGTTCCCCTAATTAAAACTAAAACCATATTTCTAAGCCCTAGTATCCTTGTGAACAAGGTAGATGAAGGGTGCCTAACACCTTCTCTTCGTCTAAAGCGAGTCAACAACTTAGAATCTTTGATCAAATTAGGGTTATCAATTATATTCCCTTCTTTAGGATAAAAATTAATGGTGGCGACTCTATAATTTTCAGCCAGTTATTACAGGGTGTTGTCCTAAATAGAAATTCACTAGGATTAGGAAGAGACAGTGAACATCATGGGGTTATTGTTCCTATAAGACTAATTGTAAGGATTCGAAATAGTAAATTTCATTTCTTGGATAGAGTTCTCACCAAAGGTAGGCGTAGTTTCACCAAACTGGATTACCAATTATTGTATTCTTTATTTCTTTTCTCCTCCATCATCTTGTATAAGTTAAACGGTCATAAATTGGTTGTACGATGATTTTTCATCTGGTTTAAAATATCTTAGACATCGTGTCTGACTTCTGTCCCCATAATCTGTCATCTGTTATAAACCAATTGTATATGTTGTCCCATGCATCTGGTCCAACATTTGTCCTCTCGGGAATAGAATTTCAAAACCTCCCTTTCAACTTGAGTGGTACCTTTACATCACACACTTGATTTTCTTATCCTTTTCTACCACCTAGCTTGAATTTGATGGTTTAACACCCCCTTCTATTTCTTCATCATTTTGTATTATGGACCCAAGATACTTATACCGTGTGACCCGAGGGATAATATGGTCTCCAACTTTGACGTCTAGGTTTGAAACACTTCTTCTTTTGTTAAACTTACAATTCATACTTATGATTAGGCAAAAATCACGTGTTTTTATCCTTACTTTAAGTTTTCATCCTCGCATTTAAATCCTCGTTTGACTCTCCAAAAAAGACTATATCATCTGCAAAAATGAATATGCAATTGCTGAAAATTGAATATATTACAAGTTTCACCTTCACCTTGGTTGCATGTAGACCGAGTGAAAAAGTTGCGACTTATCATGACACATTTCGTTACGTCACCCATAAAATCAAGACAATAACCATTTCTCAGCCAAAATAAAATATTTGTTTGTAGTAGTGATTTTCACACTTATACTAATACAAAAAGATGTTATAACTCTTTCCCCACGTAAAGAATTTAATTAATTAAATATTTGCATATGATTAACCTAGAAAAAAATTTATAAGTAATAAAAAAAGAAACAAATTTTATTAAGAAAATACAATAAACACACAAAACATGGCCTGCTATATATTTGACAAATTCCTAAACATTGTTGATAAATGTTGTCAAAATAATAAATGACAAGAGAAAAACATGGCAAGACATTGAAAAGTGGTTTTCAAAAATCAAAATCATCCTGATTAGGCTTTGGTGAAGTTAATAAAGCTGTGTAGAGTCGAAGTCTATCCTCTCCCAAGGAAGAGCATCTTGACAAGGGTCTCCTAGGTCTTATAAAAGACAATGAGTTCAATGTCAACCTATGTCTGTACCTTCTCCATGCCAACTGAATGGCAACAGCACCCCAAGTTCTCCACCCTGGTGAGTAATACCTAGCACTTCTTTTGACCTTTTCCTTCACAAAAGTGTATCTGAAATGTTGTGTGACATACTTGACATCTTCTGCTTCAAGACCAAAAGCCTCTGTTGTTTCAAGTGTGACAAGTGTTGATGTTGACAGTGGAAGTCGCTCTATGAAGGGTCTTCTCAAACACCATGAAAGAAGCTCATCACCACTGAAATTTCCTGGTCCTAACATGCAGCAGCTTTTTAACCCGTCTCTTAATACTTGGCTACTTTGAAGGTGACCCCTCACCACAAATAGCATTCTTTGAACTGGGTCTCCTTCTCTTGCTATCTGCAATTCACTTCATATATTATTATTTTCTAATTAATACTCGTTTTTGAACAATATATATAGCTTACTGTTTCTCCCTTGGTGAATATGAGAGATTTGACTCGGTCACATATATTCTCTAGAACCAGCTCGTCCATATGTTGAAACAATGGCACCTGAAAACCAATAAACATGTGAGCAACTTAAGCTTTCTCCCATATTTGGATTCATTCACTCATCTAATACAACTTTACCTGTCTGACCAAATCCAAACAAAGATGATATTTGATGTCTCTTCTTAAACCTTCAGGAAGATTTTTTGTCATTTCACATTCATCAACCCCACGCATAGCAGCCCAACGTTGTCTTTCATAGTTACGTACACGTTGTCGAAACCCCTGCGGCAAGTGTTTTTTCCTCATCCACCATTCAACATTTCTCATCTTCAATTGCATCACTTGTTTCTTAGATGTTGTTGCATGCAAAAACACCTGCATCACGATTCAAACTCTCATTATATATATATATATCAAGTCAATGTTACAAAATGATGGATGTGATTGATTTATACCTTGATGTTTCCTATCAACATAGTCACAAGAAGAAGGCCACTGGTCAAGACTAAGATATTGAAAACTACTTCTAGCCAGTCCGTTGTGCTTTCTAGGTTCCCGAAAGTGCTTATGACATAAAAAATAGACAAGTTATATTTATGATGGAGGAATAAACATGCATGTTGTATAGAGATAATGTACCTGAGAGTCATTAGGCCCCAAAAGATAGGAAAAAGAATCTTTTCAAGTCTGTTATCATTAGTGACAAGTTGAACAGTCCATTTATAAGCTCCATAGTTGAAGTTATCTGGACCATTTATGCATGTAGACCTTGCTTCCCTGTTCTCTGCCCACCACATTCTTCCAATGTCTTTATTCAACAAACTTGCACTTCCATAATATATTGGCTTATGACAAGACAATATTTTTATGCCACAACCATTTGTTTTCAGACATTGCTCTTTCAGACATTTCGTTGCTCTTTGGATCCCCAACAAGTACCAACATGCCCCTGCAGCCTATTCATTTAACTTTATTAAAAAACAGCTACGTAACAATATCATCTTAGATTTTTAAGGTATGAAGCTTACATGGGAAGCTACAAAGTAGGCGATCATGTTAAGAGCAATACCCCACCAAACAGTTCCAAAAATGTAGCCAGACAGGTTTTGTGTGCGTCTCAGATGGCATACTGAATGATAAATTTTGGGAAGATATTGGAACAGAAATACAATTAATAATATTGTCATCACCAACGTAACTGAACCTTGCTCCAACAGAGCAGGGATTGCCACCCAAAGCACAATCTGAACAACAATAACGACAACAATAAATTATTATTATTATTATTATTATTATTATTATTATTATTATTATTATTATTATTATTATTATTATTATTATTATTATTATTATTATTATTATTATTATTATTATTATTATTATTATTATTATTATTATTATTATTATTATTATTATTATTATTATTATTATTATTATTATTATTATTATTATTATTATTATTATTATTATTATTATTATTATTATTATTATTATTATTATTATTATTATTATTATTATTATTATTATTATTATTATTATTATTATTATTATTATTATTATTATTATTATTATTATTATTATTATTATTATTATTATTATTATTATTATTATTATTATTATTATTATTATTATTATTATTATTATTATTATTATTATTATTATTATTATTATTATTATTATTATTATTATTATTATTATTATTATTATTATTATTATTATTATTATTATTATTATTATTATTATTATTATTATTATTATTATTATTATTATTATTATTATTATTATTATTATTATTATTATTATTATTATTATTATTATTATTATTATTATTATTATTATTATTATTATTATTATTATTATTATTATTATTATTATTATTATTATTATTATTATTATTATTATTATTATTATTATTATTATTATTATTATTATTATTATTATTATTATTATTATTATTATTATTATTATTATTATTATTATTATTATTATTATTATTATTATTATTATTATTATTATTATTATTATTATTATTATTATTATTATTATTATTATTATTATTATTATTATTATTATTATTATTATTATTATTATTATTATTATTATTATTATTATTATTATTATTATTATTATTATTATTATTATTATTATTATTATTATTATTATTATTATTATTATTATTATTATTATTATAAATTTCTAAAAAATATTATAAAATTTTTAAATACTTTTTAAACAATATTACAAAATCTATGTCAAATAAATAACTTCAGATTAGTCAATTCAAACAAAATTATAATCAAATAATGAATAATGAACAAAAATCAGATGATATATATATACACACACTGGGGGACCATATGGTTTGTTACATATAATAATAATATTATGTAATTTTTGATATGACATATCATCAAATTTGTTATCGATCTGTGTGGCTCTCCCTCTTCTTCATACATGTAGTATTTTGTAATACATTTTATATTAATAATTTCATTATTTCTTCTATTGCAAAGTTCCACACGTCACACATTACAGGTGTTGTGATGAAGACAAATAACATTCCACAAGTTTTTATTAGATACAATTTATAACAACAGATGTTAAAACATATTTTTAATAGATTTTAATTAAATATTATGGATTTCTTTAATTTTTAAATATAAAAAATTATTTAGAGATAATAGTTTGAAACATGCTCCAACAATATGAAAAACTACACAAAACCTTACTTTAATTTGAACTAGTATATAACCCACACTTTGACCGGTTAATCTATAATATATTATTATCATTGTATATGAAATTTTAAATTTCATCAAAATTTTAGATTATTATTTTGTTTGTGGAATATTTTTTAAATGATTTTTTAATTTGAGAATTAAAGATTTTCTATATAAAAAATGAGAATAAGACTAATAAGATATAATAGTGGTAATTAAATATATTATTATTATTATTATTATTATTATTATTATTATTATTATTTATAATAATGGTAGTTGGATATAATTAATATTAGGGTTAAATGCCTTCTACCCTTCTGTAATAGTAGCGAAATTTGATTTACTCTCTTTTAAAAAAAATTATTGAACGTATTTATTTTGATTTTTTAGGTAATTATTTGCAACAACAACGCTGATGGCGTAATGATTGAAAGATTGATGAATGAGAAAAGGTTCTTAAGTTTGAAACCTTAGAGGTGTAATTTTTTCATGCCACGTCTGCATTTCAAATGGAATATTGAATTAAAAGGTTTTGGGTTATAGAATCTATGTTTGTTGAGAGACGAAAATAATTTTTGTTTTTAAAAGGGAATAAATCAAATCTTGCTACTATTGCATAGAGTAGAAGACATTTAACCCTTAATATTATTAACTAAATATTATGTTATTATATATTATTTATATTATTATTATTATTATTATTATTATTATTATTATTATTATTATAGTGGTAGTTGAATATATTATTATTATTATTAATTTTTTTTTAATATTATATATTTATTATTAATTTTTAATGTAGGATCAAATTAGTAATAGTAAATTAAGATTTTTGCCAAGAATTTCTATCACGATGACACGTGACTAGGGTTGTCATCATGACAATCTTAAATTTATATAAATCAGATTTGTGTCTGACAAATATAATCATTCTCTTTTTGTTTACAAACATCAGGGTGTTACATTGTATGCATTAGTTTATATGTTGATGATATTTTCATCAGTGAGAAAACATCTGCATCGATTCATAATCTCATTACAAATTTTTTTGATAAATTTGCTCTGAAAAAGTTTGGTGTTCCAAAAAAATTTTCTATGCATTAAAGTACATATATCATTCAAGTAGATCTGTAATACTCGCACAATCCAACGAGCCCTAGCTTACACGACTTCGTAGATATTATGGATTGAATCACTGCTTAGAAACTTCATATCAACTACTTTGATCCTACTTTGCTCTTTGTTAATCTCAATGTAGTTTTCAAATCTAGAAAAGCATAAAGAAAAAATATATTCAGCTGGTTTTCAAATCTACCAATTGAATATAATAAAAAGATGATTTCTCATTTATTCTTGTAAAATTAAGATAAAATATAAAAAAATAATAACTTCAAAAAAGTAATATGATATAACTTGAATATAAAAATAATCAAATTTATCAATTCAAGTTGATATTGGACATCATTTATCCTCTATTCATCAAATAAATAAAAATAAATGATAATCGTTCGTTACCCCCGGTGTACATCAGAACAATGTAAAGGATAAAAATTAATAACATAAAATTCCACCAAATAATCATCCTATTCTCTTATCACACATTTCTTTATCCTATCAACAACTATATTTTATGACCTTTTAATTTATAAATTTTTTTATGACCTATTAATTCGGTTTTATTGAAAAATCGAGAGGTAAAATAGTTAGAGGGACACGTCCTTGAATCTCAATAACTACATTTTATCACCTTTTAATTTTATTTTAATTTTTTATGAGCTATTATCCGGTTTCGCTGAAAATCGAGGGGTAAAGTAGTGTATTTTTTTATTTTATTTATTTATGATTCATTTGTGAAAAAATTAAGTAACAATCTTTGTCATCCATTTATAAGGTAACAATGGCCAAGATATTGTCAACTCATTAATTCACATGAAATATTAATGACCCGCATGAAATTTTCACTAGCCAATCAAAACGTGAATGCCATAATTATTCATCTTGGATGCAAAGTTCTGAAATTTTAACTTAACATATTGAAAACAATGACAATGAAAGAAAGAGTAGGGAAATATTTCAAGGTTGATTTCTTAACGTTTAATCTTTTCCTCCGTTAGAAAAACATGAAAGTAACTTATTAATGTTAGTTGTAGTTGTATAAAGTAAAATGATTAATATTGTTGTTGTTGTTATTGTTGACATTTAGTATTTAACAAATTTATAAATTTTATTTATGTGTTATTGTTGAGATTTAATGTTTAAAGAATCAATGGATTTTGTTGTTGTTGTTATTGTTGTTGTTGTTGTTGTTTTTGTTGTTGAGATTTAATATTTAAGGATTCTATTCATTTTATTTTTGTTGTTGTTGTTGTTGATGAGGAAGATTTAGAATTTGTCAACAAATTTGATGCTTTGCAGATTAATACGGAAAAAAAAGGTCAATTTTTTTTCTAAACTGGACTTTACCCCTCGATTTTTGTTAAAATCGAGGTAAAAAGTATGAAGCAACATTGAGAGCTTCCTATCCCATAGTAAAACCTACAGTCCTCAGTCCCACCAGTGGGGAAACCCAAGTCAAGTCTACACCTACATGTTTCCCTCTCACCTTCCTATACACCAGAACATTTGTTGGCCTAAGTGTGGATATCCCCTCTTGTGAGTCAGTTGAGAAATTCATATGTACCTCTTTTTTCACACACATCATGGCATGCCTAAATATATCAAATATGACATCTCTAACAAATTCATGTCAATATTTGAATCCTTGAAGCTTCTTACAATGAATAATGTGCTCCCCAAATATATCCAAGTAGGTCTTGCAGAAAACGGGGCAAACCTCATCAACAACAAATATGGAAATTATAAGCCAATTATTCTGGATTGGCCCAACGGCTAGAATTGACCCAATCCGCTTCTACCCTTGGCACATCCCAACAACAGTGACCCAACATTCTGGTCGACCATGCCCCTGAGCACACGATCAGTTATGCCTGACATGCACGCCTGACCCAGTCAGCAGTTGTCTCTCGTCAGCCGACACGAGTCGAGCAGACAACCAGGACTCATTCGAAACTACCATCTGCCTGTAACCTGCCTCCTCCTCGGATCCAACAGCTAGTTACAGGCATACTTGCCAATTTTGACCGAGTCTTGGCAGTTACCTATTTTTGAGGACCCACATATCTAGGCCTGAAAATAGGGACCAATGGCCAAACGCTAGGGGCATTATATAAACATTCACTCATGTGAGGGCCAAGTATTGAATATCCACTATTTATCACTAAAAACCTAACACTTTGCTTGTATCTCTTTTTCTCCCACACTTACTTGATCGTTAGAGTGCCTTGCTGGTATAATCCCCCTTTTCCTCCTCGACTTTCCAGCCTGTTTGAAGATTCATCCGGCCACCTTGCAGGTTCTGATCAACCGGTAAGATCAGTGGCGCCGACTGTGGGAAACTATCTTTCATGTTTTCTATTCTTAGAATCTGAAGACCAAATATCTTCTTCATTCATCGATCATGG